TGTGACAGCCTTAACCTTGTTTCCAAATGATGATGCCAACGGCTGTCAGCAAACAACAAGCAACAACTTGGAAAGCAAGAAAAATATGTATACAGTAATAACTGAACTGGTAAGTACTGTCAGTAGTTATGAGTTCAGTGCAGCAGTTGTTTTGAGTAAACTCTATTTAACTTCCTACACCTAAGAGAAAAATAATAACTTTTTCTTTCAAAATCATCAACATTTATCCTACACACTACACACTACCCTGCTTCTGTGGCTTACAGAATCTACGTTATTATCTTATTGTCTCTTTATGTAGTAAAAAAAAATGTCTTTAAATCTTTCTAGCGCTCTGTATTTGTCTACAGAATTTTATTTTTATTTTTATTTTATTGCCTTTATTGATGTCGATCCTTTTAACCTGTCATCCAGACTGTTCCATAGATCTATTCCTCTGATATACATCTACTTTTGGTGTTAGTCCTGGCCTTATTTTTATTTATTTTTTATATACTCCAGTTTGTCTCAGATTAAGATTCACTGTTTTTGAAAGAAATCTTCAAAATTACAACCCCCAAATGTTGAACCTTATCATTATTATCTTAACTTTTGCTAGGTGGTGAAAAGTTGCAGATAGATTCTCACTAATGCAATAAGGGGAAAATGTAAAATGAGCCAAAATGCTGTACACGCGAGTTTGTCCTAACAGCCGTGCGTCTGTCTTCACTCTCTGCAGCTCTGAGTCCATGTTTGGAGTGTCCACTGTGGAAACATCGTTAGCTTGTTATTGTGTCAAATTTCCCGGAAAATGGCTCCATCAGCTCTGTGTTTTCTGTCAGTGTGGTTAGAGTTTAACCCGGTCTGTTTACCTAATGACAACTGTAATAATGCACATGCTTTCGCTCTCATTAAGGAGCACTATGCCACTTTTCTGCTGGAGGGTTCAAACTGCTGATCAGCTGTTTTTTTTTTTTTTGTGTTGTTATTTTTTTTAATTGCAAAAGAAGAACATCATTTAATTTGAGAATTGCTAGATAGATATATTTAGTGGGAGATTGTGGAACGTTCCAATAACAAAATCCATGCAGACAATGACAAATGACAGGTATGGAGTTGTATCCCTCACCAGAAAAGTTGCATCTTTATAAGGCCTGTACCTGATTTTTCCCCTTGTATTTGAGCAGAATGTGTCTTGCCTCAGTCTGCTGTGCACGGTCTACCTCTAATGATAAGGTGTTTTATTGTAAGAGAATCAGGAAGTGGACAATAGCATGCCAGTTGTTTTTAAGGCCCTGTCACACCTTGACGATTTAGAAAACGTATGCCGACGTGCCAGAATTTTCTTAAAACGCCGGCATACGCTGAACCGTCGATGTTTTTTTCAATTTTGGGCGTATTCATAGCGTATTCATAACAAGTTGGATGTATACATAACGTATTAGTAACTTATATAGAACGTTTTGATAACTTATAGATAACTTATACCAACTGCTGAGCATGTTGCCAGCGTCCCCAACTTATGCACAACGACCTATGCACAGCGCACGGCAGCGTATCGCCGACAAACATGTGTCGCCTATTAAAAGGCTGCAGCTCAACAATTTAAATCATATCATATGAATCTCTCTCTGTACATAGTGCTGAATGCAACAGATCGAATGATAGGTCAGAGCAGCAGGATCTGTCTGCAGACCACAGGCTGTAAAGTTGTGAGCTCAATCATGTCAGCTGTTTCCTGTCTGCAGTAAAACCACTCGTCACTGCACTTGTAGATCTCAGAGCTCTGCACTTCTAGTTTAGATATAAGACAAAACTGAGTTATTAATATTTGTGAAATGTGGTGCAGTACTTCAGATACATGGTTTTTAAAGCATAAAAGACTGGAGATAAAGTCCACAGGAAGTAGAGTCACTATCGCTAAACTGCAGCTTCACACGCGTAAACAAACACATGCGACACTCACCTTTTTACTTTCAAATCAAATGGATTAATAGTGTGGTTTTGTGGGCTGGATGTCATTATTTGCGGAGGACAAATTCTATGGATAATACAGGGTGAGCAATAAAGTCTTCTTACTGAGCTGGCGCAATGAATTGATCGGTTAGGCTATTTGGTTTTCTCCGCAGATCACCTACATGATGCTCTTTTTTTTTAAATGCAAATGCAAATGTTTCCTACGGCTCTCAGTGAGGACATTTTTCCACTTTCTGATATCCTCTGTGGCAGAAGTATTCTCTGATCAGGTGTTTTGCATTGACTCATATGATATATGGGAGCACAGAGTGTGACGGTTTCCTCCCCATTTTTATACCGATTCTCCTAAACGCTGCCAATACGCCATTATACGGTAGCTACAAGTTAGAAACACGTTCAGTAAGTTCTGCGGTCGTCTGTATACGTCAATATGCATTGGAGATAAGTTCGATATAAGTTACACAAAGGTTCAAAGCACGTTACTCATAAGTTATGTGTACGCTAGACATTTTCTCAACGTATTTGGACTTATGAGAAACTTACAATTAACGTGTGTCAACGATCGCATAATTTACCTACAACTTATGGTCCGCATATGCAGGACGTATAAACACACGCTGACATATGTCGAGAAATTTTCTGCATGCTCAAAATTTTTCGATGACCTTGCCGCATGTCGCCGTATGCCAGCGTGCTTCAGCGTGCTCAGAACTTATACAATACTTACCTAAAACTTATCCGACGTACGCCTGCATATTTGCCTAATTTTTCATACGTCGGCATATGTTTTCTCAATCGTCAAGGTGTGACAGTGGTTTTAGTAGGGGTGTAATGGTAGATAAAAATCACGGTTCAGTATGTACATCAGTTTTGAGATCACAGTTTGGTTCATTTTTGGTTCAGTATGGGACCAAAATGCAAAACCATTTCTTGTTGTTTATTTGTTTTTATTAAACCAACAATTTGTTTTAACATTATACAAACAGGAAAATAAAACAAGTGCAAAGTTCTGCTTGGTAATACTAATAAATTCAATAAAATATTTTCAAATAAGCAACAAATAAAAAATAAATTAATTAATTAAAAATTCCTTGTAAACAGTAACCAAACTTTTCAAAAAGGAAAGCACAGCAATAGGAGGTCCAACATGAAGTTAAACACCATCTTCATATTTTTGGCCAGAAAAAACAACTTGTCCACATTGTCTGCAGTAAGTGCAGATCTGCTGCAGTTACAATGTCCCCAGTGGTTGAAAATAATAGAGGTTGCAGACACAGATTCCGTGCCAGCGAAAGGTGAAAGTGAGGACCAGGGATGCATAGTTTTGGAAGGATTCATGTGGTTCAGAGGGACGTAGTCAATGTGGAGGGCAACTGTTGTGAAGGCGGCCGCCCTAACTATAAAGTGCTGTGGGAAACACTGCCCCAATCATTGACGAGTTCTCTAGTGAATATTAAAAAGCCGAGCCTCTGTGTAGCTGCACATGTTGTGGTGGAATGTAAACACATACAAATTGCACGAACTCACTCAGCACAGCCCTGCACCGAACCCAACGTCCTGTACCGGAACGGTTCGGCACATACATGTACCGCTACACCCCTAGTTGTTAGCATCACAATCATGGCAAAACTCCACTCTGGTCTCAGAAAGTTGTGAAAAGTGCTTCTAAACTCATCATGGTGAATAATTAGGATGCTCTGAATGTATAAGGTAAGTGAAGAACGCCCTGACCATGACCATCTTGCTGGTCAAAACGCATCGGCGTCCCTTCATGCAATAAAGGACTTTTAATATATTCAGTCAGAGTGCCTCGAGTTTGTACCTTGCCCACTTTTACATTTTCCAGTAAGGGTAACTTTCTGTCTAAAGACTACTGTTTCAACCCTCATAGAGCATCTGTACTGCAATTTTTTACTCTTTTAAGACCCAGTGAAGTGCTCTACGTCTTTTTCTTCATCTAAGTGAGGAATAAGTTTGGACCACTACAGACTGTTTCAAATGAACGTGTTCTGTTTTTCATGCTTTTAATACAGTAAAAATCAGGTACAGCGTGTGACTCATGTAAGACAGGAATGATTACAGATACTTCTCCCTAGGGTTACCACAGTCATGAAAATCCTGGAAAAATCATGGAATTTTAATATCTCTTTCATGCAGCTCATGAGGCTGTTGTGATTATTTCTGAATGTCTGCACCGTTTGTTTAAAAGAGATGACAATAAATGCACTGACAGGATTTTTGAATGTTAAAACTATAATCCCAAACCATAAGGTGAGTGGAAAGAGTTAACATTTCATATTTAACCCTAAAAGTCTGATCAATTCTACGCATGTAGGTACCATAAAATCACGGAAAGTCTACTTTAGGTCATGAAAAAGTCCTTGAAAACTTCAGAAATTTTGTCAGTGAAAAAGAGTGGGATCTCTGTCTCGACTACACACTCCTCCCTCTGATTATCAGGGTTGAAAATATCATAAAAACATAACTTCCTCAGTTATACGACCATATTTGGACAGTGGGCGGGGCTTGGGCACAGGTGGGCGGTCCTTGTCACTGGATTTCTTCATTCAGTCCACAGCTTCACAGAGACAAAGGACAAGAAGAACACTATGGACAAAATCATGAAGGAAAACTGTGTGGGCTCAGCCAGTTTGGACATTTGCATAATGTGTGATTTTTATGACAAATCTACACACAGGGATTATTTCTAAATAGGCTTACAAGTCCACGTGGATTAAACTTCTTTCTTTTTTTTTTTTTTTTTTTTTGGGTCATCTTGAACAGTTTGGATATTGTTTCTGTGCCAGAGGATTAGGGCCGAACTATTTGGGAAACATTAATGAACTGCAATTTTTCCGACAAGCATCGCAAATATATTTCTGTTTTAATAATATAATTCTGTTCAAAATACACATTTGAATAGTCATTTTTATTTATTTATTTTTCAAAACAATTTCAATTCACTTATTTTTAAGTTTTTATTGAAATTTTTCCTGTGGATCATTGTGGAAGACTGGCAACATCATCTCATGTTGATCATCTCAATCATATTTTACAAACACCAGTCCAGATGAAGTTACCCTGTTGGTCTCGAAACGTCAGCTTCAAAACCTAAGTAAGTCCAGTTAGGGCCTATATTATGTGGTTTTCTGATATGTTATAATGTTGTTTGTTAGAGTTGTGTTTTGTTTCATTCACACGTTTAACACACAAAGTTCTTCTCTCAAACTGAAAACACTCTGTTCTACCTTGTGATGTCATGTGTTAATACAGGATGTGCTTGCGTTTATAAACTCCATACACCTTCACTAGAATCATTTCGATGATTTCAGCCATAGATCATGAAAACTACCGCTTCATGACATCACAAGGTGGAACAAGGTATTATGAGCTTTGGGGATGTAGACAGACTAATAGACCAGGATCACTCAACTCGTGTGAATGAAACAAAACACAAGTCCAGGTCTGGTTTTGATGAGGTAACAACATCATAGCATGGATTAAAGCTCACAAGAATCAAATGTGTGCAGTTGATGGTTTTCAGATTCTAGATGGTGATGATGTCGAACTCCCTGATGCTGGATGAGAACAAGTTTTTTTTTTAATTATTATTATTATTTTATTTATTTATTTTATTTATTTTTATCTATTAATTACACTGTGCTTTACCATGGAATATTGGAAAAGTAAATTCCCAAATGTGGTCTCTGATCATTTCTATTATTCACCAGACCCAAGACTGTGCGGTATTACAACACAAATCTGCAGTTAGACTTTGACAAACTTTACTGAGCCACAAGGGAAATGATTTGGACACAGTAGCTCACATATCACAATATAAAATATAATAACAAAGAGCAAAAATAGAAATGGAAATAATAAATTCTAAAGAAGTATCAAAAAAGAGCAAGAGACACGTGTCAAATAAAACATAACTATAAATGTAAATGTACAAGTCAAAATAAAATAGAAAAATAATAAAAATAAATTTAAAAATTCAGCTTTATACAAGAGGTCATAGGAAGACAGTTGTAGGGAGTATTATCTGTTACATAAGGGTGAGTTGTACTGTTGTAGGGAGTATTATCTGTTACATAAGGGTGAGTGTTGTACAGTTGTAGGGAGTATTATCTTTACATAAGTGAGTACTGTTGTAGGGAGTATTATCTGTTACATAAAGGTGAGTTGTTGTACAGTTGTAGGGAGTATTATCTGTTACATAAGGGTGAGTGTTGTACAGTTGTAGGGAGTATTATCTGTTACATAAAGGTGAGTTATTGTACAGTTAGGGAGTATTATCTGTAGTACATTGTAGGGAGTATTATCTGTAGTTGTTGTACATAAAGGTGGTAGTAGTTGTACTGTTATAAAGGTGAGTATACAGTGTATCTGTCATATAAGGGTGAGTTGTTGTACAGTTGTAAGGAGTATTATCTGTTACATAAAGGTGAGCTGTTGTACAGTTGTAGGGAGTATTATCTGTATTAAAGAATACTGACCTTTAGAACGTTGTGATGTCATCTGAAACCCAGCATAATATAATTTGTCTTCAATCTCAAAAAAGTATGTTTTTTTGGTATTTTCCACAGATATTTTTTGCAAACATGTCCATTATGGCTTCACCTTCTCCGGGCGCGGCTCCGGACGGCTCCTCTCACACCGTGCACTGGTCCTCAGCCGTCGCCCTCCACCCTCACATCATGGCCGTCATTCTAACCGCCGCCTCGTGCGCCATCATCTTCACCAACCTGCTGGTAGCCGCCGCTCTGCTCAAAATCCTCCTCAAAAAGAAACGCCAGAGCTGGTGTTTTGTGCTGAACCTGGCCGTGGCGGACACGTTGGTCGGAGTCGCCATCACAGGGTTGGCGACGGAGGATTTTAACATGAGCGAGCACAACGGTAACAACGGTACGCAGAGCAGACAAAGCATGGCCGCCGCTGCTCATGGTCGGAGCAGGTGTCTTTTGAGGATGACGTTCGTGAGCTCGCCTTGCATCGCCTCCATCATGTCCATGTTTCTGATATCGTTGGACCGTTACGCCGCCATCAAAACGCCCTTAAAGTATGTCTGGTTTTGAATGTTTTTCTAATTATTACCCAGGGATAGTATCTGTTGTAAATATTTATCATAGGTTTACATCGTTTAAATGTCAGTTTTGGGGGGAAAAAAAGTTAAGAAATTTAGAAGTGTACAAAAATACAGGAAGTAGCGCTGAGTTCTAAAACCAAATCCGTCTACCGATGTCATCAGTGTGGAAAATTCCATCCAAAATAGACCAGCAAGGCATTTTTCTGACATTTTAAACTTAATTTAACTTAATAAAGATGTTGTAATTTCTTTTTAGTAGTCTCATAATAGGCTCTATTCATATTTACGTCACAAATAGGGCTGGTATCATTAAGAAGTTGACGATACAATAAATACCTTGATACATAGGCCACGATACGATACATATCTCGATACAGTGCACTTTCAGGTTCGATACGATATACTTCAAATTGATTCGATACAGTTCAATAAAAAATAATGTCTAAATTATGGCTGTGATACTAAAAGTCTTTGTGCAAAGTTCATATGAAACACTAACATTTTAAAGTGCCCATCTCATGCAAAATAACTCTTTTCACATTGTATCTTCTACACATAAACAAGCACAATTTGAGTTTTGGAACATCCATTACTCAATAGTTTTGAAATTTTACTGATTTCTTGGAGGCACAGACCAGGAACTATGAAAGTTTGACTATTGCTCCTCCCCCCGCCCGCCCTGAGAAAGCACAGGCTCCGCCCTCCAAACATGACGTAGGCGACGAGTGAGCCGCCCTTCCTCCGCCATCTCAGGGAGGGAGGGGGAGACAGGCGTGCGCCCTTATATTGGTAGGAATAAACTTTTATTCATCATGGCGATACAGCGTGTTTAGCCGCATGTGTTGGACCTGGAATCGAATGAGGACTTGGAGGTGCACAAAGTCAAACAGCTGAACATTACTGATTGGTAAAGTATTAATAAACACTAGTACAGGGCTGGGCAAACATTTTGACTCGTGGGCCACAAAGGGTTCTAACATTTGACGGAAGGGCTGGACCAGGAGCAGATGGATGGAGTTTTTTGGTAATTCACCTCATAACAGAAAAAAAATAACATGGGATATGAAGAAAATATGTTCCATGTTATTGAAATATCCCATAATTGAAAATGATTACAACAAAATATCTGTATTTCAAGTCCCACGGTATTTACTATTATTTATTGAAATGACTTAGAAAGACACTGACAATTATTATTATTATTGTTCTTCAAGTTCGGCGGGCCGGATTAAAAAGAGTAAAGGGTCACATATGGCCCCCGAGCCGTAGTTTGCCCACCCCTGCGCTAGTAGATAAACTTATTATATCGTGTTCACTGCAGTGTAGAACAATGAGCTTATGCTGTCACTTTTGTTTAGGTGTTCATGTGGGAATTGTCAGCTGATGTGGGGCGGAGGTGGTGGAGCGGGGAGTTTGTGAAGCGCTTTCTGCTACATCAAACGCGTCATAGGTGTAGCTGCCGTGTCATCGTTGTAGCAGCTTTAGTTCGTTGTCACGTGGGAGGGTGGCAGAAATACACTGCAATTTGTTAAAAAAAAAAAGCCAAATCAATCTAAAAAACACTTCGGCGACATATACAAGGTCCACACATCACTCTTAGAAGGTAGAAAGCTCTGAGAAGTTGATTTTGAATGAGATGGGCATTTACTCATCAAAACCGTGAAAATGTCAAATATGTTGCATAAAAGAGTTTCCTTCCTCTGATCAAGCAACAAAACTGTAGCTGTAACAAAATAATTTAATAAAATATACCAAAAAATACTCATGACAATATATTCATACAGCAACCCACGATATCGATGCTGTATCATCACATTAAATGATACGATATATTGATATTTTGATATTTTTGCACACCCCTATAGTCACAAACCCGGAAGATGTTTGAAAAGATGCGATGACAACTTCCGGTGTAGTTACTGACAAACATGGATCTTTTAAAACCGACTGTGATCAAACCCACTGAAGTAAATGTGATCAGTGGTAAAATGAAGACTGCAGACGTATGTGCTGTTTGGAATCATCTGGAATTTGGCGCATCGTCTCTTCTAATCACATGAACCCAGTGCACTCGGAGTCCGGCGTCAGTGGGGAAATGATGAAAACTGAGGTATGGTTGGAACTGTTGTTTATCTGAACATAACGGAACACTACAGTGACATGGAGATGAAGAAAACTGGACCTGTTGTAATCGTTGTCATTGCATCTTTCCAAACGTCTTCCTGGTTTGTGACGTAAGCATGGGTAGAGCCTATTATTGTGTAAGTTAGACAAGTTTTGGCCCTAGTTAAAGCTACGGTTGCTAGATAACAGTTATGGAATTACCTCTGCGTATGTCACATGTGCTGCCCGTGTCTCACCAGGAAGCACAATTATTAACTTTACCAGAATAAAAATTAAAAAATAAATAAATAATTTTAATTGGCATGATTTTTAGTAAAACCTTAGCCAAATACAATGCTGTTTACCATGTTTTAGTGAAACGGTAGTCTAACCTGTCACATGTTCTTGCAGATACGCGCAGAAGTCGGGCAGGACAGTGGCGTTCTGGGCCCTGTTGTCTCTCTGGGTCTGTGCGTTTGTTTTGGGCTTCATGCCAGGTGAGGAGCTGATCCAAAGTGAATGAAAGTGAATGATCCTTGTTTTGTAGTACTGTCGAGTCAAGCTCTACACATGAGGTAGAAAAAGTGTCAGGTGTGGACTCTGTTGATACTTTGCACTGGGGCCCGGTCAAGCAGAAGTAAACAGCAAGGCCAAAAATTCAAGTTAATGCATCTGATATAAAAATATATTCAACAGATAGCATATGTACTCTAGTTTATGAAACTGTTTACCTTTTTTCTGTACCATTTTTGGTTCTAAAGTTCCATACGTTTTAAACAGACCATGTATGAAACATGGAACAAATATTATTTCCCAAATTTCAAAGACCTGCAAATCATGTAAATAAATGGATGTATTTCATCATATCTTGTGTTATTCGATCTTTGAACTGTTGATGAAGGTACATGATAAAAAAAAAAAAAAGTATTTAAAATTATAAAAATTTGTTTGGAAGGACTGACATATTTTATAGAAATAGTTTCCTTTCATTTTGAAGTAATATTAAAGTATTCGGAAGAAAAAAGCGACAAATGATGTAAAATCATGCACCTTCTACTTGTTTGCACAATTTTCCCTCCGTTACTTTTCCCTCTGTTACCATGACCTTTCTTAATAAAAAATCTCATTACTCAAAAAGTAAGAGTTTTTTCAACCTAATCTTGTACCATATGGTAGAAAACTATATGAAGCAAATATTCAAACCAGTTTGTTAAGGATATGTAAGTGAGAACCAAGAGTTATCACTGTTTGGATTTATTGCCCAAAAAGTGCTGCATATTTCATTCCCTCCGTTACTGACATGAGTTTTAAATTTTTTTTTCAACAACTTGAAAGAATATCACAGGGTTAACTTTACCCTGTTGTAATTTTTACACTGAAATAACATCATTCTGTGAGAACTACAACTTATTTAATAGCAATGGACAAAATGTACTTATATAATTCATGTAGTGGAAGTATTGTGTTTAATGAATAAGTTCTACTGTGTGATCACTGACACGTTTTAGGGTTTTACAGTCGCTGCTCACAGAGCCAGAAGTACTGAGTAATACCAAAGAAAAGCTACTTATTTGGGGCTGGTGGAGTTGGTGCAGTTGGTGGAGCGTTTGTCCACTGACCCACAGGTTGGCGGTGCGATTCTAGCTCCCACAGATGAATGCTGTCGTTGTGTCCTTGGGCAAGACACTTAACCCACCCTACCCCTAGTCTCTGGTGTATGAGTGGATGTGTGAATGGGTGAGTGGTTCTTTGTTGTAAAGAGCTTTGAGCCTTGAAGGTAGAAAAACTGTATAAAAATGTGTCCATTTACCGTATTTTCCGGGCTGTAGGCGAGTTTCATTGTTGACAAAAGCGCGCGTTGCATACTGGGAATTATTTTGGTCGGCGGCAAGAAACACTATTCAACATGACGGACGGAGCGAGAAAGCACGTAAAGGGTATTGATCCCGGTTATTTATCCACTCTAACGGCAGAGGACCCAAGAACATGGGATTTCACAAAAAAATTGGAATTGAGCATTAAGCCCTGCAGTCTGAACGTAGCCTAAGTTTGTGTGTGAGAGACTTGTTTAAGCTCTCAAATCATCTCACCTGTCGTAGTTCTAGCTAAATCAGATCTTTCTGGTCAGATTGTATTAAAAAGGTCAAATTAGTCTAATTTGAGTAACAGGACTTCAGACAAAGCAGTGCCCCAGTTAGCTTCACACCCCCGCGCAAAGTTGCAAATTATCAATTGGAAAATAAAAACACATGTTTATTTCAAACAATGTCCAGATGACTACCTCACAAACCTCTTCTATTTTGGACCACTCATGGACGAATGAAGGAATGTGGGTTGTAGGAGAAAATGCGATTTAACGTGTTGTAAGATGTGCGTGTTTGAGCATGTGGTTTAGCTTTTGACGAATTATTGCGGGACCAGATTCTGACCGAATCAAACTTAACCATATGCGACAACAACAACTTATCAATTGAAGGGAACGTACCCGAAAAAGTGACCTGATGATAACTTTAAGAAAAATCACTGAAACCAGCAAATTCCTTTGTGTGGTTTATTAACAAACAATAACTAGACACCAACTTCCAAGTTCTGGTTACGTAACATTAAAGCACCGATTTTAACAACCTGAGGTAGTTATAAAACGGGGTTCAGTTTAGCTCAGTTATGGCGTTTCGCTAAGTCGCTACTGCGCTTGCCTTAGGAATAATTGGACGCAATCTTAAGAGGGATGCCAATGTTCAGTACAGGACACACAGTAAATAGTAGTAGTAGAGTAAACTGTACTCAAGTAAGTATTCGGGAAAAATACTACTCAAGTAAGAGTGACTTAAAGAGTAACTGTTGGGATGTGACATTTGATTTATAATTTGAAACTGATGTAACTTGAAGGACAAAACATTAAATAATGCACCAAATCTGGTATTTTCAAAAACAGACACAAAATGAAACAAACTAAATTAGATCTGAAGCAGCTGCAAGAAACACAAAAGTTCAAATCATTTCATATTGTCACATAAAACTTTTGTCACTTTAGACTTACTCACAGTTGGAAGAGGAACCACAACTTTTATTCCTGTAAGAGTACTGTTACTTCAATAAAAATATGACTCAAGTAGGATTAAAATACGCTGCTTAAAGGACTCGGCAAAGTACAATTTCTTCTAAAAGTTACTCAAGTAAATGTAACTGAGTAAATGTAAGTGAGCGCTCCCCAGTGAGCTACTTGCAGATAAATTTGTGATTGCTCTTGATGAGTTTAAGAAAAGGTGGAAGATTCAATCAGGCTGGTTGGGGAAAATGGCGCGAGTAGAGAAATCAAACTTTTGCCAAATGGATCTTTTGCCTGAAATGTTCCACAGTATGGCATTGAACAAATCTATTGTGTGTTTTTCAATATCTACCTTGTGATGTAGTGGTCGTGTTCAGGTTAACAGCTACCTTTTACCTTTAGTTCAGTAGAGATTAAAATTCCATGTCTGAAATCATTGAAATGATTCTAGTGCAGGTGTATGTAGTATGGACATGTGCATGTATGCAGTGGAGCACTTCCTGTATTACCACATGACATCACAGGGTGGAAAGAACTCAGACTAAATATGTAGGATCTGTGTGTTCAACCGTGTAATTATATCATGTAATTCAGGCCCTTTAAATATTGTCCCTGTCCTCTTGTTGCAGTGCTGGTACCGTTTCTGCAGTCCGACCAGTACCACGGCTTGTGTGACTTTTTCTCAGTGATCTACGATGTGGGGATCATTATTCTGTACAGCATCTGCTTCTTCCCCATTGTCTCCGTGTTCCTCTACATCTACCTGGACATCCTGAAGATCGCATGTTCTCACCAGAGGCAGATCCTGCAGGTGAGGCAGGCGGGCTCCAGGACCAGTGAGCATGACAGCACTGCAGACCACCACAACAAGGTACATTTGACATATCAAAGTGTGAAACAGACTGTCTTAAGTTATTTAATCGACATTAGAGAATTGTGTTAAAGGCGCACTACATAACTTTAATAGAGGATGGTCTGCCACCTGTAGTCAGGCTGGCGCCACCTAGTGTCTCTGTTAAATTTAATTTCTCTCCAGCGACTAGGTCAGGAAACACAATACACTAGACGGTTTCCAAGAACCCCTGGAAGTTGCAGACCACGCACCGGCCAATCAGCGAAGAGCTGTGAAGCCATGATGTGAAACTTAAGCACCTGTCTGGGTCCCTTTTGTGCTACAGCACCACAGTAAACAAAGCGGTCGAGATGGATGTAGACGATATCATACATTTTGTGTTGGCAACGATTCCTGAGATTGAGGATTTAAAGCCGGAACAAAGAGAATGTTTGATGAATTTTATCAAGGGGAAAGACGTTATTGTCCTTCTTCCTATGGAATTTGACACATTACATATGTCACGACCAAATAGCAGCGATTGGTTAAATAAAAAAAGTACCCACCTACTGTCAAGTGAAGGACTCTTAATGTCAGATGGTTTCCACAAAGTGAAACTGGCTGATGAATCAGGCTATGCCACCTACTTATGTCCATGGAAATGCTATTGCTGGGTCTGAAATGTTATACTCAGTATTGTACCAATCAATTTTTCATTCAGCAGGTGACTCACATGAGACATGAACCCTCAAGACATTGTGATGTCAAGTCTGGCCTATTATACCTGTGATGACACAGGCCAAGATAAGAAGGACTGAGCTGTCGGTCATTGCCTTCAGTTCCACAGATCTGTGCACTGTCTTTCTCACATTTATTTATATAGAGCCATTAAAAATAACTAAAGTGCTTTACAGTGCATTATTCATTCACTCCATACTTTTAGCCACAGCCGCTCTGGGGCAGACTGACAGAAGCAAGACTGCCAGTCTGCACGAAGTGGCCTTAACTCACCATCAGCACACACCACATTTACACTAAGCAAGGTGGATTGTGGTAGTAGTTGTAGTCCTGTGTATTATCCACTTCTGCAGAACACCTAAACAAACATTCAAACTGATCCCACGTGGCCTTTCAAAATGTTTTTATTAATAACATGATAATGTTGTAATGTTATTAATCCCTGTTGTTTTCCTCACAGCCGAGGAGCCCGTACTGGAGCCACGTGCGAGCCCTGCGCACCGTGGCCATGCTGGTGGGCTGCTTCCTGCTCCTCTGGTGCCCCTTCTTCATCACGGGTATGGTGAAGCTGATATGTGGAGGTTGTCAACTCACACAGCTCCTGGAGGGCTACCTCTTTCTACTGGGACTGTCCAACTCACTCCTTAATCCACTGGTCTACGCCTTCTGGCAGAGGGAGGTACGGCAGACACTCGCCCAAATGTTCTCAGTCTGCAACCGAAAGACCCAGAGACAGTCAGGGACTGGAGGAAGCACCCATCACCAGCACAACACAAACAGAGACGATGTTAATGCGAAGTGTGCAAGCTAAAGTGGACCATAACCAGAGACGATGCTAATGCGAAGTGTGAAAGGCGATTGCCATGGCCCAGTTCTGATTAAGCACTTGGTCTGATTTGCACCTTTTTCATTTAACTTGTTTAAATCTTTTAAACATATTTATTCTGTGTTCTGGCACTGTAGCTACACATATGGCTCAGCTATAAAATATGGCTCAGTTTGGATATGAAGTTGAATGCACTACAACTTCATATCAAAGTTGTAGTGTATTCTGAATAATAGAAGCAACTGAGATCTGCTGTTTCTAACATTTATTTTAGGTACAGAATTTTTGCAGACCTAAAGCAAGTTTTTATCAGTAAAACACTATATTTAAGAGTCAATTTGATTGAATAAATCTCAAAAACGAGGTTTGTTGAAAGTATAGTTACTATAGCAACTTCAGTGCTTGTGCCCTTGTATCTGGGCTTGCTCCATTTAAAAAAAACTGTGCCAAATCAGGTTAGAATCCAAATCGGACAATGACACAGACCATGAAGCAAAAGGCGAGTCAAGTCTGACATGTTTTAATTAATGAGATATTTTTGTTTACAGAAAGACAGTTAAAAGAAGGTTTGGAGCCAGTGTGCTGATGTTTTTCAATCAAATAGTTTGCATTTCAATTTTTCATGCAAAATTTAAAAAAAATGCACATTTTAGAAGTTTGACAGAGTTCTGTTTAGTTTTACATGAGGGTGGGATTTTAGTGAGATCAACAATTATGTCGCCTGTATGTGATGATACTCTATGTTAAGCGTGCACTCACCAACCAGAGGCTCAGTGGTTTGAATTACATTGTGATCATAAACTGTAAATATAAATGGACATCGCTAACACACTAGCCACCAAAAACACAAATAGGAAGTGAGTATGTGGCTCTTCCCATTTTCTTACATTGGAATATTGTGGCCCCTCTCTGTAACAGTGCAGTAACTCTCGTCATTTTGGGCTTACAATGTTTGTATTAACTCACGCTACATGATCTTGATGTTTTCATTTCATTTTTGTGTTAAAAAAAAAAATCCTAATCCTATTCCTAATATTCAGGCTGACTCCAAATTAGCTCCTGTAACCGTTAGCATCAGGAGCTTCATTTGAGAGGAGTGGAAAGCTGTGGGTGACGTCACACTCTCTTCTTTATAAATTCACTTCTTTATACAGTCTGTGGATGTGGTAGAAGTTAGTAGCAAGTGAGACCTCCACTCTGAAGAAGTGACTGCCAGGCAAAGGAGTGATGTAAAGCTTGTGCACATCTCAGAACGGACACAGACACAATGACAGTGGGACTGATGTCTGCTGAGCATCAGTTGGGAGAAAATAAAAGGAGAAATGTGGATGGCACAGAATACTGTCTTATAGGCATCTAAAATATAACAAATCAAGATACAAACATAACAAATGAACAGTGTTGGGAAGGTTACTTTTAAAATGTATTCCCCTACAGATTACAGATTACATACCCCAAAGTGTAGTTTGTAACGTAATCCATTAAATAACTTAAAGTGAGTAATGTAATCTGAATATTTTGGATTACTTGATATTGTGATGTTTTTTTAAAACTACATGAATGTACCAGTCACATACTGAAAATTCATGTTTGTTCTCTTCAAATTGGCCCTGGTTTAGTCCTGGTTTAGTCCTGGTTTAGACCTGGTTTTAGTCCTGGTTTAGTCTTGGTTTAGATCTGGTTTAGACCTGGTTTAGACCTGGTTTAGACCTGGTTTAGACCTAGTTTAGACCTGGTTTAGTCCTGGTTTTAGTCCTGGTTTAGTCCTGGTTTTAGTCCTGGTTTAGTCCTGGTTTTAGACCTGGTTTTAGTCCTGGTTTAGTCCTGGTTTAGCCCAAAATGTGAAAACAGGAAAATACCGCTGTGTAATCCATTTATTTCAACAAAGTAACTGTAATCCAATTACCATTCATTGAAACAGTAACTGTAACTGAATACAGTTACTCATAATTTGTACTCTGATTACGTAACTTCAGTACATGTAATCTGTTACTCCCCAACACTGCATATACACACAAAACAACAATAGTGAGTAAAGTAAAGAGAACTAAATTTAGTGTGCACTGGGGTCGGTCTAGAGAGCGCACTAACATGTGACAATCCTAAAAAACAGGCATTCTGATTGTGAGCGGGGTCACCTCTCCACAGATCTGACCTGTAACTTGGTCTGGTTTTATCTCCATTAAGATAGACAAGTTTAATACCATACTGTGAAGCATTCCAGACAAAGTAATGCACCTTTAAAGAGCCTGTACCTGAATTTTTCCTCTTGTATTTGAGTATTTGAGCCAAGTTTAGTGAAAATGACAAACTAAAAAAAAAAAAAATTCTTAACTATAGTTACATGGGTAGAAGAGATGAGGGATGGTTTTAAGTGTTTTTCCAGAAACTGCTGTTGATGTCTAATTTTACCCTTTGGGTCAATATTTACTTCCTTGGTTGTATTGTTAATTCCGGCCTCTTGGCACATCTGCTTCCAGTCTGTTACCCATAAATGTAGTTCCAGCACAATCTTGATGTAGGCTGACTTGTAGACTGTGTAATTCTTCTTATGCATTATTTGTGCTTTTTTTTTTTTTTTTTTTTATTACTGCTGTGTGATTTATGAATACTTGATTTTGAAGGACTGTCCCAGCTCTAAACTGGTGGGATGTCCACACCAGTCCTATGTAAATGTATGCCTATGTTAAAAAGACTGACAATTGAACTGACAAACCAACGCAAGAATCACATTTCAGAACATGTCTGTACAGATCTACACTACAGAGTAAGTCATTTTTATGCAAAATAAGACCAGAGATTTAGCTGTTTTTGGAGGAAATTATTAGCCTGATTCATCAGCTGGTTTCACTTCATAAAAACCATGTGACCAGCATTAGAATTCGTTCGCTCGATGGTAGGTGGGTACTTTTTATCATTTAACCAATCACTACTATTTGGTTGTGACATATGTGATGCGCCACTAATGGGGCTAACTTTTCCCAAATCCCGTAGGAAGAAGGACAATAACGTCTTTCCCCTTGATCAAATTCACCAAACATTTCCCTTTATTCTAGCTTTAAATCCTCGATCTCGGGAATTGTTGACAACACAGAATATATGGCTCTTGGCTGATTGGCTGGTGCCTGAGCTTGCACTTCCGGGGTTTTTACGAACCATCCAGTACAGGGGTGTCAAACATCCGGCCCGGGGGCTGGATCAGGCCCTCCAAGACCTTTAATCTGGCCCTTGGCTGATTTTCTACTAAAATATTTTAATTATATTTTCTATTAAAATATTGGTAATTTTCTGCCGTGCTGAGCATAGCAGCGTCTCCAGTGTCTCTGTGCGTGGCCCCTCCCACCAGAGCAGCACAAATGAAGACTTGTCTCTTTACAAACGCTCTTAAAGGACGATCGTTTTGACTGTTGACCGTGACACCCTCATCAGAAAAATGTCAAAAATGAGAAAAGTGCAGCCGAGTGCAGGATTTTACAACAAAAATGAACTTATTCCTATTTATATACAAGTTCATGTTAAAACATTGTGTTGAATTAGCATTTTTCTTGAAGTTTCAGGTTGGTCATAATATTATAATATTTTGCAAAAGAATGTGTTCATCAATTAAAAAAAGATTTCTGTAAATTCTCTGCAGAAATATTTGAACTTATTGCTGTTTTTGGGTGAGTTTTCTGATCTGGCCCCTCTGAGATCAAAGTAGCTTTGATACGGCCCCCGAACCAAAATGACTTTGACACCTCTCATCTAGTATATTTTGATTCCTGACCTAGTTGCTGGACAGAAATGACATTGAGCGGAGGCACTAGGTGGCGCCAGCCTGGCTAGGAAATTATGATACGTCAACAAAAAGCGTTTGTGATTTGCTAATTTTGTCCATTCAAATTTCAATTCGATTGTGGTCCATCTTGCAGCCATACTAGATCATTAGACCTTATTTTTCTCTCTCTTCCCCACAAACCAATAAATCAAGCGGCTGCTTTCCTCACAGTCACGGATCAGGCGGGGACATTGTTTACAGTGGGATAAGCCTCTGCTCATGGGAACTTCCTCTATCTTGATATGTGCGCTGCGCTTTACGTGTCAGCACACTCGATCAACAAACCGCCCTCACTCTGACGTTTACCCAAGTACTCTCTCAGCAGACAAATGGAGCCAATTACCCAGAGTGCTTTGTGACAGAGCAGATGTAGTGTTCAGCGTAAGCTAATCATGTCATGATGGTAAAACTGTCTCAACTATACTGGTTTTATTTAAGCTTCTTCTGGGATATTCTCTCTGATCAAAACACAATTATATTTTAGACCAATATTTTTGTCACTATTAAATGTGCATTGGGTAACTTTTTGGTTGTGGGTCTGTCATCTGCTTGTTTCCATGGAGATGTGATTGCTCTGCTGAAATGTTCCACAGTGTGACATTAAACAGCTCTACTTTACATTTATTAAGTTACAGGTGGTTTTATATTTCAAAAATACCTAGAAAAACAGGTGTTCTGACTGTGTCCATGGTCACCTCTCCACAGATCTGACCTGTAACTTGTCTGGTTTGGTCGCCATTGAGATTAAGGTTAAGTATCATTAAGAAGTTGCTGATACGATACATATCTCGATACATAGGCCACGATACGATACAGATCTTGATACATAGGCCATGATATGATACATATCTCGATACATAGGCCACGATACGATTCACATTTCGATACATAGGCCATGATACGATTCACATTTCGATACATAGGCCATGATACGATACATACCTCGATACATAAGCCATGATATGATACATATCTCGATACATAGGCCACGATACGGTACATATCTCGATACATAGGCCACGATACGGTACATATCTCGATACATAGGCCATGATACGATACATACCTCGATACATAAGCCATGATATGATACATATCTCGATACATAGGCCATGATACGATACATATCCTGATACATAGGCCACAATACAATACATATCTCGATACATAGGCCACGATATGATTCACATCTCGATACATAGGCCATGATACGATACATATCTCGGTACATAGGCCATAATACGATACATATCTCGGTACAGCGAGCTTTTGATTCAATATGATATAATATAATAAAGGCTAAATCATGTCTGATACTAAAAGTCTTTGTTAAACCACTTCTTGTGCAAAATTCATATGAAACACAAACATTTTAAACCTCAAAACTGAAAATGTCAAATGTGTGGCATAAATGAGTTTCCTTCATCTGAACAAAACTGCAGCACTGTAAAAAAAAAAAAAAAAAAAAAAAAAATAAATTAGTAAAATATACCAAAAAATACTCTTGGTGATATATCGATACAGCAGCCCACAGTATCGGTACTGTATCAGTACAGTAAATGACATGATATATTTTGATATTTTTGCACTCCCTTAATTAAGATAGAAATGTTTAATGCCATATTGTGAAACATTCCAGACAAAACAATAACATCTCCATGGAGAAAAGCGTTAGATGGGCCCTTCACAAGTTACACATATCCCTTTTTTTTTTTTTCTCCTCTATTTTATCAAAATGTGTCTTCTCCAGTACAGATATATTGTATAAGCAGCTCTTGAGGTCAGAATAAGTCCTCTGTGTTCTGTCTGCATCTAAAAGCATTAGATTTCTGATAATAAGAAAGTGCACTGTTACCATTCTAGTTGTTAAGTCTCATGGTAAAACTCCGCTCTGGACTATGAAAGTAAACTCATCGTGGTGAATATTTAAGATGCTCTGAGTGCATAAGGTAAATGAGGAATAACTTTGGACCGCTGCAAACTGTCCAAAATGAACTACTTCTGTTTTTCGAGTTTTTAAGGCAGTAAAAAACACAGTGCCGTGCTCCCACTGATACAAGCAGGTGGCCAGAAAAGTTACATAGCATGCTTTTAAATAATTATGTGAAATATGTGAAACGCTGAAATGAAAAGCAGACTCAGAGACTTCATTTGATACTCAAAGGACAAATCTTTTATTAACAAACTGCTGCTAACTGAAACCACAAGGAACATTTACAAAGGAATGGTCTACAAACGTCTGTACACTGATACTACACACTGAACATTTATATTTATAATGTAACTGAGGTAGATACTAATGGAAAACAATGAAAACTGGCCACATCTGCATTGTTTTAGGCTCCATAGCTGTACTGCATCAGAGGGGTATGCATGTGAAGAAACTATGCAAATCATCTCACTATAACATTCAGTACAATTCTGATGCAACTAGACATTATTTTATTTATCTGAAGAGGGGGTATTATGCAAAACACTCTTTTGAAGCTTTCTACCACATTATTTTGCTCATCAAAAACATGCCTGAAGAGGTTTTGCATGTCATCCATGCATGTTTGAGTCATCTATTCAAACCCTCCTTACGGTTAGCAGTATGATCCTGTCTCTGAAGGGGGAGTGACTTAGCACGGAAAGCAAAGGGAGGGGAGATTCAAAGAAACAAAACTGAAATGTATTCAATATGTCAATAGTTTTCTGCTAATACTGCATTAGTGTATAGCAGTTAATAGGCCATAGACGTGCAATACCACCTTTTTAAATAAAAACACATACTGTGCTTGTGTCTGCTGTATAGTTATAATCTGCGACACCCGTGGATCATTATGATATCATTTTAAATTTTAAATCGCAATATTCATCTAAAATGACTTAATAAAAGAAACAAGTCCACTGACTTCCGCATTACAAACTCCGGTGTCCAATGAGAGCTAATGTCGCCATAAACGTCATCACAGCAGAGCGGCACACACTGCCGGCTCGTCCTATGGACAGCTGCAGATCAGATTTACTTTTACTTTTTCATTCATACCAAAATGACTACATGAGGCTGCCAAATCCTATGGGAATTGACAACTAAGAAAATAAAATAAGAGAAAGGAAGTAAGTAGGGAGCAGTGGGTGTGTATGTGTGGTGGTGAAAACAGGGGTAGATCGGAGCAGTGATGAACACAGGAGAAGACTCAAACATGCACGAATCACTTTAAATACAACTTCACAGGGTCAGTGAGAAGGAAACAACTATAAAAGCTCAAAAAGTTGATTTGCAGAATAGGTCTCACTTACATTTTTTTTTCAGATGATCAGAGTCATGAGATAATCCATCCATGAATAAAACACTGATATATACCAGGCTTGAACTTGTGTATCTTGGTTTTAGCTCTGTTCAGTCCAAAAGTTCAAAGGTCACCTAACGCTGTCGTTGTGTTGGACGTTAGCTGCGCTGTTTCTTCTTGGCTCGGATGGGGCTGAAGAAGGGGTGCCACAGCGCCTCCTCCAGGGTGATCCTACACACTACATCATACTGCAGCATGAGTGAGAGCAGGTCAAACAGCTGCCGCTCATCATCTCCACCGCACTGCATGTACTCCTGCACACACACACAACAATGTCAATGACAATGTCTTATTCAAATTCAGAGAGAGCTGTGACATTAAAACACAAATACAGTTTAATGTCAAGGCGCTCTACCTTAAAAATATGTTTTTTAAGTTTGTTTTCAATTATCCATCTCCTTGGAGAAAAGGAGGCCAAGTTACAGATCAGATCTGTGGAGAGGTGACCCCATTCACATTGAAGATGAACATGCATGTCTTCTATCTAGTGTTTATGGCGCAATAAAAACACCCAGATTGAAAAACATGCTAGATCGATACAGTTAATGACACATTAGAGCCTTCACTCCACCATTTACAAAGTGTATCTTTATTGTGGCTAAACCTCCTTGTCAAAGTCTGATCTCGTCAGATCTCTGAAGCTAAGCAGGGCTGAGTCTGGTGAGTGCTTAGTATCAGGTGCCACAGTGGAGTAACAGTGGGAAAAACCTGTCACTGTGTCCTTATGTGTGAATGGCAGCTGTGACTACAGTAGTGGCTTAACAGTATTATAAGGTGCCACAATGGTAAACCAGGTATTGTTTAAGTACTGGTACATTTATAAACGATCCCCAGACATAGATCATTATCTTTCATATCTTTTTACAGTGAGTTCTGACCTTCAGTGGTTTACAGTGTTTCTTGATGTAAGCGTCTCTGGAACTGTCCTCCTCCAACTTCAGACGCTCGTTGTGGACGTAGTGCTGCTTTCTGTCAAACATAAACACTAGAAGTGAGATCAGCTTGGAATTGACATAGAATTCTCAAAAGTATCATAAAATCAGATACTAATCAATATTAAAACTAGTATCAACACTAAATGGTAAATAAATGTAGTTAATATGATTAAGTGAGATTCAGGAGCAGGACCAGGCCTCAGCCGTCCTCTCCTCTCACCAGAGAACCACAACTCACCTCGATCACACCTCTAATTTCCCAGAAGCCTTTAAGCCTTTCCCATCATCCCAGTTTGTTTCTGCTAACTCGACCCCACCCTGCCATCCCCTATTTTGTCTTTCAGTCGTAAGACCCCTACAAGGGGGGTCCCGTTCCCGCTGGGTCAATTGAAGATTGAGACGGAGCCTCCACCTATAGTCTCAACCCAGCCACCTCCGCCTCGCTTCGTACATTATCAATAAACTTCTTCGCACTATGTCATTGTTAAAGAATAGTGAAATAAATAATAAAAGAAATTATCATTAAATGTTTACTTTATTAAAACCATTTTTGTGGTTTCAGAACTAGTATTGAGTATCGTGTATTTAGTTTGTTCCGTGGTATCTAAATCGAGTATACTGTTTTAGTGTCTTGACAACACCAATATGACCTGTGCACTTAAAACTACAAGGGAACATTATAAAAGGCCCTGTAGCTGATGCATAAGGTAAAAAAAAACTATATTTTAAAATGAAAATCTTTTAAAATGAACTAGTTGTGTTTTTCATGCTTCTAAGACAGTCAAAATGAGCATCTTTAAAGCTTGGATTACTTTGTCTGTTTGAGCAGGTGAGCAGGGATCGGACCCAGAACTCTCTCCATCATGGCCAGATGCTCCTGACTGTCGTGGGTCTGAAAAACACATTTCAATAAGTGTCACATGAATGACGCATCACTGTGGTAAATCACACATTATGCATTATTTATACTGGCACTGGCCTTTAAACATGGTCTTGAGTGTATTTGCTTTAGTTTGGCAAATCATGTTTTAAAACAGTGGCTCTATATCTTTTCATACCAAGTATCAAAGAAAAGATTAGGCTTTTTGAGTATCCCCAGATTTAAACCAGGGCTCTATCTAACAACTTACACCACAAGATTCATTCAACAAGTGTGAAGTAAAGAAAAATACAACTCTATGTATGGTTTTAATGAGGGGACCAGTGTTGTGCAAGTTCACACTTTTCATGAACTAGTTCAAAGTTCAGTTCACACATGTTCAAAGTGAACAGGTCACGTTCATAGTTCACAATTTAAATTTTGAACTAGTCCATTTTATTTTTAGGTGAGATATGTAAATAAAAGGCTGACGTTATTTTTCACTTCCAGTTTACAACAACTTTACAATATATAAAGCATAAGCACTCTACAGCCACATCAGCCTGTTCGAGATTATAATGTGTATAATGTGTAGCTTTGACACATTTGTCTTACAGAAGCGAAAACTTAAAACCGCATGGCTAATTTGCATAAACTGCACTGATGCATCAGCTTCTGTCAGACTAAAGGACACGACTATATGTGAGGAATGACACTGCAACTTTTGGACGCGTAACTAGAATGCACTGAAAGTGAAGGAGGACGGCTCCACTGCATGTGCTCGGCGTGTGTATGGAGCAGCTCGTCCCGCGCGCTTAGATTTCAGAAAATAGGATGCATCCTATTTTTTGACGCTCTACGTGAGTGTTGGGAGAACATCTGCTGTTGTGTTTGTGCGTTTACCATCAGCACATCGTGCTCCCGGGGCAGTTCTGTGTCGTGTGAAAGAGCCCAAGTCCAGAACGACTGTTATTAGTGCTTTGAAACTAACTTTTGAAATACTCATGTTTGCCGTGGTTAGTCTGTACAGAAGGTAAATACAAGTCTGTTCTGCTGTTAGTTTCACTGTAGACCTGATACAAGCGGCTAAACGCGCCCAGTCAAGTCTGATCGGCTTTCCCATTGAAAAAAAACGAGCAGTCCCGCGTGTGTACGTCCTGCTGCTGCTGCCTGTGGAGCCGCCTCCTGCTTTGACGCGCGGCTGTGGTTTCACGACGTTACACGCGACAACACTGACGCGTTCTTTTGAACTCATTCATGCACAACACAGGAGGGGACAACGTTACAACATGGTTAAAAGTGCAAAAAAGTCAACTTTGCATAATATGTGTTCTGTTAACTTGACTAGTCTTTCCATTGTTACAGCATTCTACAAGTGATTTAAAAACAAGAGTTTCATTGTGCTGCTGAATTGGTTTTATGAATTGATGGTTCTCGGTGGTAATAGGTGCTAAACACATATTACTCAGTGGCTAATATCAATTATTGTTTTGGAACAAAATTTGAATATTGAGTATTTTGTCAAAAGGAAACATGTTTAATATTACACATTTTTTATATTTACATGCAGTTTTATCACATTTTTGTTGGCTGAATATTGTCATCAGGAAAATCCCCAAGAAAAGTAAGTTTTCAGTCTACATTTTTGTCAAAATAACCCCTTTTCTCATATGGTGATTTTAATACTACTTGTATCTTATATCTTTAATTTTCTTCACATTCATCGTTTCCTGTCATGATGAATTATGGCACAAAAACAAATAGTGAGTTAGAAAACAGACGAGACAAGATGCAAATGTCTTGCTCAAAGGAGCACAAATAGAAAGCACAGACTAAGTGTTTATATGAGGACGTTGTACCGGGAAAAGTGTTCGTCCGCAGTAAAACTCCATCAGAACACAACCAAGACTCCAGACGTCACACGACTGGTTCCAGCCAAGATCTGGGACAAGAAAAACACAATCCCACATTAGTTTATGATCATATTTTATAGTTTCATTTTATTTTGCAATAGTTTTACCGAGTATGACCTCCGGGGCGCGGTAATGCCGGGTGGACACTAGAGACTCGTGATATTCATGGTCAAATGTTGCGGTGCCAAAATCCACCACTTTCACATCAATGCTCTTCAATTTCTTTTCATTACACTGCTGCAAAACAAAACAGCATTTTAAAAAAGATAATTGAACTTAAAGAAGGGTTATTACACTTACTAATTGCTAACACGTAAATATTTAGATCACCATGTTACCATATTGTCTTGAAAACACTTTCTTTGCCGAAAACAACATTCACTTTCGTTTTTTGACACGCTGAGTCCCACCTTTTGCTCAGCATTCCCCCTTCAGAGTGTTACATCAACACAATAAGCATGAGTTTTAGATGTTTACCTTGTTTTCATTGTATTCCAGGTCAAAGTCAGAGGAGACAAGTAGAATGTTCTCTGGCTTTAGGTCTGTGTGGGTCAGTTTGTTTCTGTGAAGGACTGTGAAGAAAACACATAATTAGATTTGTCTGCAGTAAAGGTTTAAATTAAATAGTTTTGAGTGACATTGAAATCCAGTCCTGTAAAATATTTGGGACCAGAACTGCTGATGGCAAGTTAGGCCAATCAATAATAATATAATCTCATAGTTACCTTTTTTTCTGAACAACTAACCCAGAACTATATTTATAGACCCAGAAGTAAAATTTAGAAGGAATATTTCACAAATATATTCAGTCACAGAATACAGAATACCTGCATCAAAGTATATTTTGTAATGCCTTCAGTTCTGAGCGCTCTGTTCTGAATATGTCGCATACTTTCACACATACATAACACCCTGTTGTGAATTTATTAACAATACACTCATCACAAGAGACCGTGTTTTCTATTTTTCTCACCAGTACTGCACAGTCTGAAGTCTACATTTCACAATCAAATGCCATGGTGTATTCCTGTCAGGTAGTATATTGTGGCACGTCTCCTTCCAGCTTTAATGAGAAAGTACTGCACTAGTGACTAAAGTATTGTATTTGAATTTTTGGTCAACACTTCACAACACTGTCCATAATTGAATCAGTAACTGTTGCTCAGGTTGTAGACTCTAAACAGCATGAGTTGGGGGCACTCACAGCAGATGGCTTTGAACAGCTGAAAGGCCATGTGTCTGATCTGCTCCAGGCTGAAGGGGGCGTAGTGGTTCTGCTGCAGGAACTCACAAGTGCTCAGTCCCAACAGCTCAAACACGATGCAGATGTGTCCCTGGTAATCGAACCAGTCCTGCATCCGAACACATGCACTGCACACAGATACAAGGCGGCTTTAAGGTTTACATTTCATACCAACAGTAAGCGTGGCTTGTTCTAGAATATTTGTTTTAAATTGAAAATGTCAATAAATTAAGTAAAAAAAAATAAATAAAAAAAATGTTGTCCTGTTGGCTTCATCAAACCAGCACCTGCAACATGAGCTGGGGCAGTTTGCAGCCGAGTGTGAAGTGACTGGGATGAAAATCAGCTCCTCTAAATCCGAGGCCATGGTTCTCAACGGGAAAAAGGTATCTTGTCCTCTCTGGGTGAGTGGAGAGTCTCTGCCTCAAGTGGAGGAGTTCAAGTATCTTGGGGTCTTGTTCATGAGTGAGGGGAGGATGGAGCGTGAGATTGACAGGTGGATCGGTGCAGCTTCAGCAGTGATGCAGACCTTTGTGGTGAAGAGGGAGCTGAGCCAAAAGGCAAAGCTCTCGATTTATTATCAATCTATGTTCCTCCTCACCTCTGGTCATGAGCTCTGGGTAATGACCAAAAGGACGAGATCACGGATACAAGCGGCTAAAATGAGTTTCCTCTTCAGGGTGGCCGAGCGCTCCCTTAGAGGTAGGGTGAGGAGCTCAGTCACAGTGGAGGAGCTCGGAGTAGAGCCACATCGCGAGGAGCAGCTGAGGTGGCTCAGACATCTTTTCCGGATGCCTCCTGGATGCCTCCCTCAGGAGGTATTCTGGGCATGTCCCACTGGAAGGAGAACCAGAGGAAGATCCAGGACATGCTGGAGGGACTATGTCTCCCAGCTGACCTGGGAACGCCTCGGGTCCTTAGCCCCGAATAAGTAAAAAAAAAAAAAAAGTAAAAAATGAAAAGTTTTCATTTCATTATGATGTATACTTAGGTGATACATACTTATCATAATTTTACATCAGTTAAGTGAATGTTTGTGGAAAAAGTTTATGTACCTTTGTCATAAATACATAAAATTCCATTCAAAATGCAGAGACAATTTACACACAAGGAAAATATTTCTTTCTGACAGTTTAAAAGTTAATTTTAACAATATATATACACTGGCATTTATTTTTATTAGTCAAATCATAAATATTGTTTAATTTAGACATGTTTTGGCCTTTTGGCTAGGTAATAGTTAAAAAATGACCTCTATGCATGTCATATCTGCCGCTCATGTCTAACCAGGATGTTCAATTATAAACTTCACCAAAATTAAACTAGTAAACTTCAGACTAGTAAAATAATGCAATAATGCAGATTTACTACGGTGGACGTCTCATTTATTTTAAAGTGAATGTAATTATCAGGACAAATGGTTGAATCATACATGAGTTGTGCTTTACTCACAAACTGTTGTCATCGTCCAAAGTGTTAATCTCCCCCAGAACTGCGATTTCAGACTGAGCTACTACCCTGAAACAATCAATGTTCCTCACGATTTTCACAGCCACGTATTCATTTCTGCCACAAAAACAATATGAGAGACATGTTTTTATAATGACACTGTGAATTATTACAATCAGTGTGTTGTGATATTAAAGGTGCCTTGTGTAACTTTTGTAATGGAGGGTCTGTCAATTGTTTTTTCTATGGATATGTCATTGCTCTGCCTGGAACGTTCCACAGTATGACATTAAACAGCTCTACTTTACATTAACTGTATTTTCCGGACTATTGAGCGCACATGAATATAAGCCGCATCAACCAAATGTTCAAAGAATAAAAATGTGTACATATATAGGCCGCACTTGTCTATAAGCCGCAGGTGTCCACGTCTTCAAGAATGTTTTCAGGTTTGGACCGTCTGCTTTTCTTGCCTCTGAAAGCTTTGGTCATCAGTTCCTCACGCTGCCGTCGCCAACGTCTCACCATCGAGTCACTAATGCAGAGTTCACGTGCAGCAGCTCTGTTTCCTTCTTACACAGCCACATCAGTTGCCTTTAACTTAAAAGCCGCATCATCTGCATTTCTTCATGTGTTTTCCATGAGGAGGGTGTGTGCATGAAGCGCAAAATAACTGTTCAAAACACAATCAAACAGCATCCTCCTCGGCGTATCATCTCTTCCATCTGTCTGCCTCGCTCTTGCATCCTATCATGTGGCTCTACTGAGCATGTCTCCTGCAGAAAGAGTCACTGTCCTGTCTGTATCTTGTCAGTGTCTTGTAGGACTTCAGCAGATTTATCGAGGTGTTTAGATCAGGTATGAGTGGATGTCCAACTACTGAAGTTTGAGACATTTCTTCTTGTTATTTACGCACTCAGCTGCATTTAACACATACGAGTCATTAAAACGGATCCCCTCACCAATGTTAATTTAGCATCATAACTTATTTTATCAAACTATTTTAGTGCACTGACAACAAATAATCTGTCCATATATTAGTTGCGTCATTGTAGAAGACGCAGGGTTCAAAGTGTGAGAAAAAAAAGTGGCTTATAGTTTGGAAATTACGGTATTTTACTTCACGTAGAAATGTATAAAGTGGGGAAAAAAGAAAAAAAAAAAAACTCTGAATGAGATGGTGTGTCCAAACTTTTGACTTGTAGTGTATCTATACAAAGTTATGCCAGACAAAAGCTTTATCACATGGAGATAAACTGTTTTAGTACGAAAACATCGATAGCTTTTGTTGCAAGACAGCGGCGTTTTCTGCACTCAGGCTGCACGCGCATCTGCTGTGTCGATAAACAAATAACCCATCCATATATTCGCTGCGTAGTTGTATAAGCCACAGTGTTCAAAGTGTGAGACCAAAAGTAGCGACTTATAGTCTGGAAATTACAGTATTCAATTGCAAGTGGTTTTATAGCTCAAAAATATCTAGAAAAACATTCTAACTGTGAGCGAGGTCACCTCTCCACAGATCTGACCTGTAACTTCACCTGGTTTGGTCTCCAAGAAGATAGAAAGGTTTAATATCATACTGTGAAACATTCCAGACAAAGCATTAAATCTCCATGGAGAAAACCATTTGACGGACTCCCCACCAGAAAAGTTACACAGTACCCCTTTAAAGTCCGACTCACTTGTGTCGATCGAGGCATTTGGCCACTTTACCGAAGGCTCCTTTTCCCAGAGTGGACACGACCTCATCTGTGGAAAACAAAACGAAAACCTTATTGCCTTATTGGACATAAAATGTTTGCATCTAATGTCATTAATCATTCCCTGGAGGGTGAAGCTAACTGGAGGCACTGGTCTGTGTGGAGGTCTGTTATTCACATTAAATACTTAATCTGAGCTTTGTTTTAAAATGCTCTGAACATAAAGAACTGACTTAGCTGGAACTGCAACAGGTGAGCTGCTTTGTGCTTTTAAACAAGTCAAGCTGGAATTAGTCAAGAGTCTCAAAAATCAAAGACCTAAACATGACCATGACCTTTCATATTGATCTAAGACTCCTGAAAATGTGTTTAAAAATGTGTTTCAGATCATCTAAAAACAGCATTTGCTAATGTGTGCACTGTGTCACCACAGAAACCGCTGAACATTCCTCTATACATGCATCCCAAATTTTCCCAAATCCCGAACTTTCGGTCATCACGCAATTCATACTGGGAAGGCCTCTCTGAAAAAGTGAACATCAAACCGGCATGTTTGATTTCCCAGTTGGATGTGTCTATTGACAAAGCTGATGTTTTCAAATCTTTTGAACCAAATCGCTTTTGTTTCTGGTTCTGGTTCTGTTCAAACAGTTTCCCTTCTCAATGGAATCGAAAAATAGTGAAAGGTGTAGGACCAAACAGTCAACCTTTGGTTGCCTAAGAAATCATTCAAATCAGAGTTTGCTGTGAATATTTTACAGAAGATAAGAAGGCTGAGCTCGCACTTTCTTGTTCAACTGGTTTTACAGCAACATCACCTCTTGGTCACTTTGCAGTGGAAGGTGTCTCTTGGTGAACAGCTGGTGCCTTTTGCTTTGGCGTTGACTTTTTAAAATCGTAACCAAGGTTGAGTGAGGGATTGGGATTTTGCTTTGTTGGTGCTGCATATACAAAATGTTCACTGCAAACTCGAGATGATTTCTTAGGCAGCCAGAGGTTACATTTTTCGTCCTTCCTGTGGATCAATCCTGCCCAATCGCCTTCGCCTTTCACTATTTTTCAATTGCGTTGGGAAGGGAAACAGTTTGAACAGAGGTTTGCAGTCACACACATCTGATTCCCTTTTGCAGTTATGGAGTTCGAAGTTCGAAATTTGTGATACATGTGTAGAGATACATGCAGAACCTCCCCAGTGTGATGTCACCACAAAATAGCAATAGGGTCAGATTTGGTACTTGATGTGAAATGTTTAAGAGTTAGTGTCATACATCTCCCATTGAGCAGCAGTCCCTCTTGGTAAGCCAGATGCCCTTCCTCGTCGCTATGGTCACCGCTCTCTGCCCTTTGACCTCCCTTTGACGACAGAAGAGAAGTCTATGTTCAGATCCAGGGAGTTCGATGAAATAAGAAGCAGAGGAAAATATCACCAAGGTTTTTATGCTGGTTATTACTTTACCTGGAATGTTCCCCAATATGGCATTAAACATATCTATCACCATGGAGACAAGCAGCTAACAGTAAGAATACATGTTTTTTTGTTTTGTTTTTTTAATGTAGTTTTTTTTTTTAGCAATAAAAGCATCTGTAATTGAATAAATACCAATACTGTACATAACTGCAATATTTAGTTTATTTTTGCAATTTAAATTTTCAAATCACATTAAATTAAAGACACTGTAGGACTGCAGAATTATGGAAAAAAATCATTATCATGATTATTTTGGTCTATAATGAAATCAGGATTATTCAAATAATTATTTTATTAGCAACACTTATTTATTTATTGAAAATTAATGCAAAACTTTCAAATTTAAAATAAATATAGGCTACAAATGTGTACCTTAGAGCAGTTTTGCAAAGTATAAACTATAAAATGAATAAAATATACTTTGAACATGAAACATGAAACCTAAATAAACGTACTTATTTATATAAAAAAAAATCCCAAAATAAACTTTTTTTTAAATCGTTTCAACTTGATTATTTGATTATATGAGTTTGTTTGAGATTGTATGAGATTGTTTGACACACAAATTGAAATTGTGATCAAAATTCTAATAATTGCATGGCCTTAAAGACACTGTACCCGATTTTTACCGTCTCAAAAACATGAAAAACAGAGCTAGTTCTTTTCAAACTGTTTGCAGAGAATTTTGCAGTAACAACAACTAGCATACTAATGTGCTCTTCCTGATTGAGAAAAAGATGCTTTATATTTAGCTGCAGACAGTATGCAGTCAAGTTATTTTAACCTCAAGATACACTCTGTCTGTACCGGATCAGGACCTTTGAGTTCAAATGTCCCATATGTGAATGTGTTTAGTGAAGAGTGCTGGGCCAGATGAACCATATAAATACTTTTGGTATGTGATCTTACATAACGCTCATGGTATTAATGCTCGTATGGCTCAGCTGTATTGTGCATACCTTATTTTTTTCCTGTTCCGTGGTGTCTGTGGTGCTCTCTGTCAGCTCTGGCTTGATGGTATTTGTTTTATGAGGCTTTGAGTCTGGGGACATGTCATCAGTGCTGGGCTCTGTGGGACAAATAGAGTGTGGACATTATGGACACAAATAGAAACTCCTCTGCTGCATGTGCAGACAGGACAGTGTCAGGGGAGCCATGTGTGTCATGTAATGATGTGGAATCATAGACTGTACTCTATGTATAAATGGACATAGCTCAGCCGCTACAGCTGCGTTCCAAATAGGAAGTGAGCATAGGTGCAATCTGGCTCCATCGACCTTGGGTCCAATTCACTTTCTATTGAAAAATGTTTGATCCTCTCTCTGTAACTGATGTTGTGAGCCTCAGTATTTTGGTCTTAAGGCCTGTTTGCACGAGAACGCTTGATGGGTAAAAACGACAAAATATTTTATCGGAACTGCCTTTCGTTTAGACGGAGCAAAAATCTGAAACCACCCTCCAGATTGGAAAAGCTGAATACGCTCTGCCGTAGCATTTCCATCTACACTTCCCAAGACGCAAAACTCTGGTCAGGTCTGCTCACGCTGCGTACACGTTTACATCACATACATACAGTACACAGAAACAATGGCATGCAAACCCAATCGAATTCCACACACTTTTGCGTCACCCTATGCATGCAGATTTCCTCCTGAAAATGCTCATCTAAACGTGGAATAAAAGGACGTAAAAGGAAGACGCGACCGCACTTTTGCGTCTTCTGTTCAGACAGTCATCATATAAACATAGCCTTAAAATGTTCGTATTAACCTGTTCTACATGATCCTGATTTTGCTATTTGACCTGTATATCAAAATATGAACATTAATGACAGACCGATTAGGCACCTTCTGTCATTCTGGTTGCTCCTACTAGTGTAAGCAACAGGTTTGATTGACGACGTTGCCCCCTGCCAAACCAGTGGTGTGAGTGGGAAGGGCCGTTACCTTCAACACTTCTCCTGATTGGCTCTTTGGATGCTATGGTACATGAGCTTGCAGCTTGCTACCCACTATAACTGCCTCCATGACGCAGGAGCAGCGCCATCACATGTTGGTACAGCCTGTGCCGAGATAAAGTGCCTCAGTAACACAGCAACGGTCTCATATAAAGCTTTTTTTTTTTTTTTATATATAGGCATGAGTTGTTGTATAGTTGTAGGGAGTATTATCTGTCACATAAGAGTAAGTTGTACAGTTGTAGGGAGTATTATCTGTCACATAAGGTGAGTTTTTGTACACTTGTAGGGAGTATTATCTGTCACATAAGGGTGAGTTTTTGTACACTTGTAGGGAGTATTATCTGTTACATACAGGTTAGTTGTATAGTTGTAAGGAGTATTATCTGTGGCATAAGGGTGAGTTGTTGTACAGTTGTAAGGAGTATTATCTGTTACATAAGGGTGAGATGTTGTACAGTTGTAGGGAGTATTATCTGTTACATAAAGGTGAGTCATTGTACAGTTGAAGGGAGTATTATCTGTTACATAAAGGCGAGTCATTATACAGTTGTAGGGAGTATTATCTGTTACATAAAGGTGAGTCATTGTACAGTTGAAGGGAGTATTATCTGTTACATGTGGGTGAATTGTTGTATAAGTTGTACAGTTGTAGGGAGTATTATCTGTTACATAAGGGTGAGATGTTGTACATTTCCATGGACAATGTTCCATGGAAATATTTTCTGGTCATGTCCAACCTTGAGTTGTACAGTTGTAGGGAGTATTATCTGTTACATATGGGTGAATTGTTGTATAGTTGTACAGTTGTAGGGAGTATTATCTGTTCCATTAGAGTGAGCTGTACAGTTGTAGGGAGTATAATTACCCAGGACTAACCTAGGACTGATTCCAGGACTGAAGAGGAGGACGAAACCAGGACTGAACTAGGACTAAAACAGGACTAAACCAGAACTGAACCAGGACTCACGATCGAGGCTCAGAGGTGACCGCAGGAGAAAGGACCGACGGAGAGCTCCGCACCTCACGGTAAGTGCGGCTATTGCCCGATCGCGCTGCACTTCAGAATCACACTGCTAGAGATCAAACATTTATGTAAATTTGGCAACTGAACACATTCTGTACTGTACAGGAGAGACGGCACGGAGGAGATTGACTGACAATGGTCTACAATCCCTTAGCCAATCTGGACGCAGGTGGAGGAACACAATACTCACTCATACTCTGTAAAAAAAAATAAAAGCATAAAAAAGTGCACTAAAAAAATCCACGGAACAGCAAGACCACGAAAGGTGAACTGCGAGGGACGACTGTATAGACCTTACTCAGCCCACCCACTGTTGCCTCTAAAAGCTTCTAAACTGCACCTCTTTATGGTGAGACTTCTGGTTAAGCCTATTTATTTCAATAGAGAATTTGAGAAAAGTGTCACTCCCAAAATCTGGAATAAAGTTGGTGGTTCTGTGTCAAATATTAAATGTTCATGTGACCAACAAACCACACAGCACCGAGTCTCTGAGAGGATTTAAAACAACGTTGTGGTCCATATAAAACTTATTTACTGTGAGACTCGCAGCCAATGATTGTTAAAACAACTTCACGTAAAAAAACAAAAAAACAAAAAAAAAACAACAAATAATAAATAAAATGTGATTAGGCCTGTCACGATAACTAATTTTGATGCATGACATAATGCGATAAACAATCATACTGAAACTACTTCATGCCATCGACACAAAGTCAATTTATCTTTATTTAAATATACTATATCATTAAAAACAATGAGCTACAATATAAATAAATAACAGAATGAAATAAAAAATTTGCCATAGAAGTTATTTATTCTACTCTCTTGAGGTCAAATCTTATTGTATAACATAAAAATGGCAACAATCTCACCACCACTGCCAAATTGTGCTAAATACTGGGACCCAATAATACACTATTCTCTATCTTGAGGCTTTTAGTCAGTGTATTTTTACATTTATGGATTAAAAAGTAGGGATGTAACGATATCCAGATCTTATAGAATAGTAGATAAAATACGTTTTGCTTTTAAAATACCTTGAGGACACTTTGTTGTGAATCATTACCATCATAATCCCAAGAATTCAAGTAAAACATATTTGTTCATGTTGTCTGCGCTGAAATGAATCATGGGATATGTAGTTCCCTATGTTTATGAACTGTTGCTACTTTAAAACAAGGAAATTAAGCAAACAAACTTGTAATTTGATATATTGTGACAGCTCTCGATATTATTTAGAGCAGGGATGTCAAACATATGGCCTGGGGGCTGGATTCGGCCCTTCAAGACCTTTAATCTGGCCCTCGGCTGATTTTCTACAAAAATATTTTTATTATATTTTAAAACCTGAAGACAGAATTAGCGATTTTTCGCACACCATTTACAGTCAAAACCTTTAATGTGCCCGCAGACATGCAACTAGAAATAATAGATTTACAGTTACTACTTACCATTGTGAGCAGGTTTTCTCAGTAATGAACATTAATAAAACAAAGCTGCGCTCAAAGATAAACACACAAGCACTTGAATGACATTCAGAAGACAGCAGCTCCTCAGGACATGGTGTCTGTTATTGATGCACTTGTACAGGTTCAAAGATGCCAAGTTTCAGGAACAAAAATAAAGCATGACTAAATTCTATGAAATGCAAACAAGTTCATGTTAAAACATTGTGTTGAAATAGCATTTTTCTTAAAGTTTAAGGTTTTTCACAATATTATAATATTTTGTAAAAGAAAGAGTTCATCAATTAAAAAAAGATTTCTGAAATAGATTTGCGTTTGTCTGCACAAATATTTGAACTTATTTCTATTTTTGGGGTATATATGCCATTTTTTCCCCCAGCCCCTTTGGGATCAAAATAGGTTGGATATGGCCCCCGGACCAAAATGAGTTTGACGTCCCTGATTTAGAGACTTTTGACGAGATCACATTGTTACATCCCTATTAAAAAGTGCATTATTCTGGATAATAGAGATATTAGAAGTAATTGTTTGACTAGACGACTGGCCAAACTGGAAAGTTTGATTTCATAAAGCTGTTAGACAATTTGATAAACTGTTGATCCACAAAGTACTTGGACACAGGAGCTCACACACGCATAATGTAACAAAGAGTAAAAAATATAAATGGTAAAAAGAAATTCTAAATAAGCAGCAAAAAAAGAGACGACACAGGTGTCAAATAAGACATAATGATATAAATGTATATGATAAATAAAATAAAATTAAAATAAGCATAAAAGGTCATAAGGAAAACGGTGCAGTTGTAGGGAGTATTATATGTTAATAATGATGATGAGTTGTTGTACAGTTGTAGGGAGTATTATCTGTCCCATAAGAGTGAGTTGTTGTACAGTTGTAGGGAGTATTATCTGTTCCATAAGAGTAAGTTGTACAGTTGTAGGGAGTATTATCTGTCCCATAAGAGTGAGTTGTTGTGCAGTTGTAGGGAGTATGAAGTGTCAGATGAAGCCGATGCATTTTAGATAATAAAAATATACAAGTATTAAATACATATTAAATCTAAATTGCAACTTAAAATGTTTTAGTTGTTTTTTAATTTGCAGTGGCTCTACATCACACTAGCACATTTTTTCCCCCCAAATTTATCGAGTATCACCAATGAAGAAAGTCAAATTGGAGAAGGAAGTGCATGCAGAGCCGTGGGAAAATTAAGAATAAAGATCCCTCAAACATGCATCAATCACTCTAATTAGAACTTCTTAAATGAGAAGGGAAACAACTATATTTCGGTTAAAAGGTATAAAAAAGAAGTTGATTTTGTAGAACATGTTGCCTTTATGTCCTTAAAATTTCAAATGAAGTAAATGTGTTACCTGCAGTTAATTCACTCTGGTCTTTTTGCCCCATTTTTCTGGGTCGACCTCTGGTGTTCCTCAATCTCTGCCCGATCTGAAGACAACTGGAACAAGAGACAAAAACAACAAATGTTTCACAATTTTGACATGTTCACAAAGTATTCTACTATAATTCAGAAAAAGTCATTTTTCAACAGCTCAGAATGTAACTTGATTGTGAGTGAAGAAGCAGATTAGTCCTGATGTAGACTTGGTTTAGTTCTATTCAAGTTCTGGTTTAGTCCTGTCTGGTTCGGGCTTAGTACCAGTTTAGTCCCAATTTTGAAATTCTGTAAAAAAATGCTCTCCAAATATGTATTGTGATTTGTAATGTTGATTTTGAGTAGGTTTGTTTGTTGTCAAAAAAATGATAAAATTATATTAAACCAAAAATATCTTCAAATAAAAAATAAATAAATAAATAAAATAATTAAATTTAAGCAATTAATACTTTTAAGCAACAGAATTCTTTGTAGAAATTTTGGTTTGGGTTTACCTGAAATCTCTGCTTGAGTCTTTGGTTTTGTTTTATCGCTGGGTTAGTCCTGGTTTAGTTCTGACTTAGCGCTGCTCTAGTCCTGCTCTGGTCCTCCTCTGTTCTGACAGTGGTCCAGTTAATGCAGGTTTGTCCAAAGGGTTAAAGACACTCCCTCTTCTCTGTTTTCAGATCTATTCATAGTTTAGACCCACGACCTCCGGACCTGCTCCTGCGGGCCTTCCTGGTTCCTTTTCCTGGCCTTTGGGATGCATTACTTTCCCTTAACCTTCAGCAAGACCCCATGGACAAATTAAGAGAAAGTACTTTCAGCAAAACAAGAAACGCAATAAATGAATGTTATGTAGTTATCATCACCACAACCACAAAACAATAGGTTTTTATTCACAAAAGGGTTGTCAAAAGCATCAAAAATCAGATACTAAAACAAGAAACCTCTAGTTGGACGCTTCTTCCTTTGAAAGCAGAAGTAGGTTTTTCAGTTCTCGCGTCTGACACACAAACGCACCGCATCAACACTCCAAATGAGAAAGATGGATTAGCCTAGACACAAATCTCCCGTGGACTTTCCATTTAAGCCTGGTGCCTGAATACATTCTACTTTATTAAGAAAGAGTGTTTTTATTATTCTGGTGCTATCAGGTCAGCAGTGAGTATCCAGTCTATTCCTATGAGTATCGAAATCCAGTTTAACATTTTAGTATCGCGACAAACTGAACTTGAAGACAGTTTAATTGCAGATTTGTTGATCTGGTTTATGGTTCATATTAGGGCTGGGTATCATTAAGAAGTTGCCGATACGATACATACCTCGATACACAGGCCACGATACGATACATATCTCGATACAGTGCACTTTCGATTTGATATATATTTCAAACCGATTCGATACAGTTCAATAAAAAATAAAGGCTAAATCATGGCTGTGATACTAAAAGTCTTTGTTAAACCACTTCTTGTGCAAAGTTCATATGAAACACAAACATTTTAATCTTCAAAATAGAGTCAAAATGTCAAATGTGTTGCATAAATGAGTTTCCTTTCACTCCACAAGCAACAAAACTGTAGCTCTGTAACAAAATAATTTAGTAAAACACACATAAAAATACTCTTGATATATCGATACAGTAGCCCACGATATCGATACTGTATCCTCACATTAAACGATACGATATTCCGATATTTTTGCACACCCCTAGTTCATATCTCTGTAATTACTGGGCCTATCCACATTAAATAAAAACTGTCACAAAGTTCAGCGTCTTAAAAAAAGTGAAATAATGTTTTCGCTGTAGCATTAACGGTACCATTATTCAAATCCAAAGATGTGACTGTTGTCAGCTGAAAGGTCTCTCGGTCATAAGTTTAATAGGAGATGTGTGTGGAGCCGATCCCAAACATCCCAAATAATGTTTGTCTCAACATGTACATCCCACGTTTGGAGATTTCTATCAGTGAATCTTCCGTAGAGTTACACAGGGCCCTGCTCCATCTGAATTATGAGCTGCAAAAAAACTTGTGCTCCACCAACATAACCAATCATCTATTTTCACGCCACAGAATCGGGGTTTGCAGGTCAATCCCTACTACCTGAACTCAATGCTATTATTGTGTGATTGAGCAAGACACTTAAGAAGCCACCGCCTCTGTGTGAATGTGTTAGAGCATGGGGTGAAGCAGCCATGTTTCTGTCACCAAGTCAGACTGAAGTGTAAATGAATAAAGTGTCAACAACATCTTCGAAATAGGAACAGACCAAGACCCAAGCTCAGATCTGCAGAATGGTCCCAGCGCGCCCACTGCTCCTGACAGATCCAACGATGGCTCAGTAATTATATGAATTTTAATTAAAGATCCTATATTATGCAAAATGGAACGTGTGTTTAAAGTTAATATTTCAGTCTTCTCTCAAATTTTAATGCTACTGGACGGGTTTAAAATGTTCTAAAGTGTTCTAAGGATCAGCGTCAAACCTCCAAACTACATGCTCAAGTTAACAGCTACCTTCCATACTCTACATAGTCATATACAAACCTCCTCAGCACTGTCAAAGTTTTATTGATGATTTTACTGAGATGCTTTCAGTTGTTTGCACAGACTTTGATGGTTTAGTCATTACAGGTGATTTTAATGTACATGTGGATAATGTGTGTGACAAAAATGCCAAAGAGCTTAGTGTTGTCCTTGAAACTTTTGGTCTGACTCAGCATGTCAGTGAGCCCACTCACAACAGAGGGCACACTCTGGACCTGCTCATTACAAAGGGTGTAAATATTTCAAATGTCAGTGTGGTTGATGTTGCTCTGTCTGATCATTTCTGTGTCTTCTTTGACCTGTCTGTTATTCCCAAACCACCGGCTGCTCCTACAGTTGTTCGAAGGAGACACATAAATGATAACACAGGTGCACTGTTCATGGAAATGATACATTTTGAAATTGCCTCATGTTCTAATGTTGATGATGTGTTGAACTCTGTGACTTTGAGTGTTTTGAATGTTCTGGCTGCCATCGCCCCGATAAAGGTTAAACTGGTTAAAGATAGGCAAAAAAGCTCCGTGGAGGAATGATGACTCAGTCAGGGCACAGAAAAGGGAGTGCCGGAAGGCTGAGCGGAAATGGCGCAAGTCAACCTCCAGGTTCATTATGAGATTTACAGAGGAACAATGCATATGTACAACTACACTTTGAGTAAACAAGAGAGAAGTATTTTTCGGACATTATTGGTAATTGCAGTAACAACTCTCGTGTCCTGTTTGCAACAGTGAACAGATTAACAAACCCTCCAGCTCCACTGCCACTAGAACTAATTTCCACATCTAAATGTAATGAGTTTGCAGTTTTCTTTAATGACAAAGTTCAGGGCATCAAAAATGCCATCAATTCCACAACACAAATAACAAGCATGCAGCCACAGAGACACTTAGAGCTGAATCACTTTGCACCTGTAACTGACAAAACTGTTTTAGAGATCGTTACCAGTCTGAGTTCATCTACTTGCTGCCTGGACATGTTACCCACTAGATTTCTAAAGTCCGTCCTCAACAGTTTACTTTCACCACTCACTCACATAGTTAACATGTCACTTCAATCTGGAACATTCCCAAATGCGTTGAAAACTGCGGTCATTAAGCCTCTCCTAAAGAAGAGCAGTCTTGATGCCACAGTACTGAACAATTTCAGACCCATCTCAAATCTGCCGTTTTTTGGCAAAGTCCTTGAAAAAAAGCTGTTTACCAACAGCTTACGAACTTTCTCCAAATGAACAACTCCTTTGATGTTTTCCAGTCAGGTTTTAGAGCCCACCACAGCACTGAGACTGCTCTTATCAAGGTGACAAATGACATCCGCCTGAACACTGATGCAGGCAAAGTCTCAGTCTTGATCCTGTTAGATCTGAGTGCTGCTTTTGACACTGTCGATCATGGGATCCTCTTACAGAGACTAGAGGACTGGGTGGGCATCTCTGGTACTGTACTAAACTGGTTCAAGTCCTATCTAGAAGACAGGAAGTATTTTGTTGAAATTGGAAACTGTGTCTCAGATGACATGGCCCTGACCTGTGGGGTGCCTCAGGGGTCAATCCTGGGTCCCCTGTTGTTCAATCTCTACATGCTGCCATTAGGCCAGTTAATAAGCAGCAATAACGTGTCGTACCACAATTATGCAGATGACACTCAGATCTACGTCTCTCTGGCAGCAGGAGACTATGGACCAGTGGAGTCACTTGGTCACTGCATCCAACAGATCAGTGTGTGGATGCAAAACAACTTTCTCCAGCTAAACTCTGACAAGACTGAAGTCATAGTGTTTGGTCCACAGAAACAAAGGGACAGTGTCAGCAGTCACCTCCAGTCTCTCGCTCTAAAACCTTCAAATCAGGCAAGAAATCTAGGGGTAATAATGGACTCAGACTTGAACTTTAACAGTCACATAAAATCAATAACATCTGCAGCCTTTTTACCATCTAAAAAACATAGCAAAAATCAAAGGTTTACTGTCTAAAGCAGACTTGGAGAAACTTATCCATGCATTTGTCTCCAGTAGGTTAGACTACTGTAATGGTCTGCTCACTGGTCTCTCCAAACGAGCTGTGAGACAGCTGCAGAACATCCAGAATGCTGCAGCTCGGGTCCTTACTCGAACTAGGAAGTACGAGCACATAAGTCCTGTGCTCAGGTCTCTGCACTGGCTTCCTGTGCCTCAGAGAATAGACTTTAAAGCAGCTCTGCTTGTGTACAAGTCTCTCCATGGCCGAGCACCAAAGTACATCTGTGACATGTTAGTGTCATATGAACCATCTCGCACTCTGAGGACCTCAGGGACCGGCCTCCTGCTGGTGCCCAGAGTCAGAACTAAACAAGGGGAGTCAGCGTTTCAGGTTCATGCAGCTAAAACCTGGAACAGTCTTCCTGAACATGTGAGACAGGCCTCTTCTGTGACGCTGTTTAAATCCAGACTCAAAACATTTCTGTTTAACTGTGCATATAACTGAAAGGTTTTCATTCCGCACTCTTCTCTCCAATTTATGTCTCTCTTTTTTAATTTTAATCTTCATGATTATTTATGTTTTGATTTGTTTTTATTATGATTTTAATGTATTTCTTATTCTGTAAAGCACTTTGAATTACTTTGTGTACGAATTGTGCTATACAAATAAACTTGCCTTGCCTTGCCTTGCCTTTTACCTTTTTTTTTTTTTTTTTAATTCGTGCACATGCTCTGAAGTGTTCACATTGGAGACAAGTCTGAAATGTGAACTGCTAAACTAATACCCTAAGAATCCCGTGCATTTCCGAACATGTTTGTATAAATACTTGAAGAAGATGTGAGTCACTGAGGCCACTACGAATCTCTCTGGGCGTGATTGACAGGTGGATTAGCCAATCAGAGACCTGCATGGTTCCTCCGTATCAAAACAAATACGGCTGCTTTTGAGGAAAAAAAGAAAAGAAAAAGAAGATCACAGGGGACTGAAAAAACACGGAGGATTTTTGCCGAATCAATGAGTGACGAAATAAACTCAAAAATTTTCACATGCGTCACTGAAATAAAAAAAACAAAAAAAACTCTGAATATTTTCT